AACCGTCAAATTTACAAACCAAAATTAAGAAAGCAAAATTAAGATGAAAAATTATCAAAACTAAATTTGAAAATTAAGGAATAATTGTATAAAAGCATTATTATTAAACTAATTAATATAGAAACAGTTATGAAGTAGAAAATTAATTTTATTGGTAAAAAAATATAATTATACATGAATCAATTATGGTTATAAGTTATTACTAACAAAGATAAAATGAAAGCTGGATAAAAAATACATATGATTTGTGATTACTTGTATGATGATATTATGTTTCTAGACGTTAAATTTTGTAAAAAGGAAAGCCCATGGGCTGGCCCTGGCCTATAGGGCTTTAGGGGCTTTTAGCCCTGTGGACTTTTTTAATAAAGAGTTTTTTTTGGCCCTGTGGGCTTTTTTGGCCCCAACCCACATGGGCTAGGGCCAAATCTTATTAAAGGGGCTCATTTGACAGCTCTACATATGAGGACCCACTTGAGATTCCTATACAAATACGAGGAGCATCCGAGGGTTTAAACCATATTTTTTTTTTTGCAAAATAGAGAGTTGAAATTTTTAAGTCATACATTTAACATAAATCCAGATTTACAGTTAAATGTCACGATGACATATTTTTTATTTACTAAGAACTTATATAGGGTTATTAGATTTAAAATTATTAAATAAAGAATTAAATTTATGTAAATGAATGATTAAATAATATATTTTGCATCTAAGTCCTTTTTTTATTTTTTATTTTGTTTAGGCTTAATACATCATTTGGTCTCTAGTTTGGGGCAATGTGTTCAAAGTGGTGACACTCTTTTTCAGCCGTTCACTATTGTTTCATATTTTATAAAAATGGTTGAAGTTGATCTTTTGACTTACGGCGTTAAAAACACAAACATGCAATTGTCTCCATGGTAAAAAATGAATACACTTATTGATTGGTGGTAATGTGAAATGAATTGATTGACAATGTGTGTGAAAATGTTAAAAATTGAAGTTATTAGATAATAGAAAAGGATTAAAGTTCATAAAAAAAAATCATGTGTAAAATAAAAAATCCCAATTATAATTTTCAAAATTAGAATCCCAATTCAAAATTTATAAAAATAATGTATAAAATCAGAAACCTTAATATAAAAATAATGTACAAAATCAGAAACTTAATATAAGACTACATGTAATTGAAAATATTTAAATATTTTATTACGTTCCTGTTTTAAAATTCTAATAAATATAAAAAAGTGTTAAATTAAAAAAAATGAAAGTTTTCATAATTGAAAATATTTTCGAAGAATATAAATGTTTTTAATAGTGGTGATGTGTAGTAGATTTAATTAATATAACTTTTTAAAGGATATTAGTTTATCGATTTACAATATTTAGTTTCATCGTTGAAATTGTAATTGTAATTTTCAGGTGATTCTTAATTGTTTTTAGGATTAAATATGTTTTTCGTCCTTTAAGTATCATACGATTTTGGTTTTAGTCCTTATTCGAAATTTTGATGGTTTTTAATCCTCATAGTTTTGAAACTCTTACTGTTAGTCCTTAAAATTGGACGGCGTTAACTTTTAGTAGATATGACAAACGGCGAGATCACGTTTTATCCAAGCTGTCCTCTCCCCTATCTGTCACGTTGGTTTTCTTTTTATTTATTGTACTTTTTGATATTTGCAGGATGTGCTTAAGTGGTTGGATCCACACTTGCCAGCTTTATTATATTCAATGGCAAGAATGACCATTTCGCAGGAATACTCCCCTCTGGTTCTGACTTGAAATCTTTGGCCCCGCTGCTCCCAAACAAATATGGGGTCCAGGTTCAGCAAATGCGAAGGAAGGTGAAGGAGGAATATCAGGGAAGAAATAAATAGAGGGGAAGTCCTGTCCTCTCTACTATCTATCTTTTCCCCAATCTAATTTATCTCTATCTCTTTCCCTGTTCGTTTCCGATTATCATGGCTGAAAACGTGGTGGCCAATAGGAAGGGTTGCGACACCAACGTAGTTTCGGACGGCGGTGCCAAGAGGAAGGACGTGACACGCGACATGGGTCTGGCCACTGCATTGGCCCTCACGTGTCACGAGTTTGGGGAGCACGGCGGCGTCAACCTGTCCATCGAGGCCTCCGCCGCGTTCACAGACATGGAGCCGGAAATCCTTCGCCGAAATCTTTGACTAAAACTACTTTTCCCCATTGAAGGAAAAAGCAGATTTTGAATCTGGGTTTTTGTTGGATGGTGGAGAATATGGATATAAAAAAGGGTCTCTGATTCCGCTTTTGGTGACGACCACTGTTAGGTTTGGTCTTGGTGAAACCACTGCTTCTGCAGTTGCCAATACAGCTGCTGGCTTGGATGAAAATGGAGACTCAGAAAGAGAACAGTGATGGGTGTGAAAGAGATAAAAAATCCCAAACATAACACACACCTGGCTCACTGTTAGCTACAAATATTTAATGCCGTTTAATTTTAAGGACTAATTATAATAGTTTTAAAGCTAAAAGACTAAAAAACGAGTAAGAACTAAAACTAAAATCGTATGATACTTAAAGGACAAAAAAACATATTTAACTGTTTTTATATTAAATATCTTCATTTTATGGAGAAAATGAAAATAGTCTATTTGACTAATATGATTAATAAAAGAAAAATAAAAGAAAAATATGACCAGTGAAATTTGATCATTTAACTTTTCTACTATTATTATATCAGTTTACTTTTTTCCGTCTTTTTCATCATGTGATTTTTCTTTTGCCTATTATGTATTTTTATTTTTAATTTAGTGTAGTCCTATTTCATGTATTTTTTCTTTTTCTATTTTTAATAAAATCTTCATATGATATTAATAATTCCAGAAGATTTGGAAATATTTTTTCCTATATTTAAGTTTTATTTTAAGAATTATCATTCTCATAACTTTTTTTTACAATTATGAATTTTCTACAAAAATAATTGTACAAAATAATATATTTTCTTCACCATACAAAATAATAATATATCAGTTAAACCATTTCAAAAAGAAAACAATTAAAAATATTCTTTTAAAAATCACATTATTTAATTTTTGAGAAACTTATATCAAGATTGTAAAATTTAAATATTAATTTTTATCTAAAATAAAAAGAAAACACACGTATAGATTTACAAATATTTGTACAAATATGTTCAGAACTGAACATATTTTAAAAATTACTAATAATATGAGATGGTTTTACTTTTTGATATAAACAATATATTTATTTAATAATAACTTAACGTCAATACTTATTAATTAAACAAATTATGATATAATTGAAAATTATTTAAATTTAAATTTGATAAAATATTAAGTAAAATTAATCTAATTATTTATAACGATATTAATTATTATATGTAATTTAAGAAAACCATTCCATAGAAAACTCTTTTTTTCTCCCTCATCAAACAAGCAGACCATTTAAAAATAATAAATAAATCCTGAGTTAACTACGTAGAGAACACATTCATGCATTAGTTTCAAAACTTTTTTTAAAATAAATGATTTAGTGAGAAGGTAGGTTGTGTATTAGATGCAAACTACTTTCCACCAACTTGTGCCGGAACTACTTCTAAATCACACAAAATCAGAATTGAAAAGAAGATAAGAGTTTACATTAAAGATAAACCCTAGTTACTCAAAAGGTTAATCCTAGCTATCTAGCTACATATTTTAGTCTTGGAAATGGTAAATGGTAGGGTAGCAAGGTCTTAATATTACGAGCTCTTAACCTTAACTATATATAGGGAAGTCAATTCCCGAACCTTAATCCTCTCATAGCACTTTTCGGGTACTGAGAAGGAACCATGCAAGGTGCGCTCTTGACTTCTCCCCATCTTTCAGCCGAAATTCCTCACCACCTTTTCATTTTCCACAACACACCATCTTCACTCTCTCATCCTTGTAACCTGCAACATCTGATAACAACATCAAAATAATTATAATCAACTTCTCTTTACAACATGTTATTAGAAACATAAATAAAAATGTCATATCTTACACAACATCATTAAAAACAAACTGGAAAAAATCAAAGTGCACATGCATGCATGTGTTTGTCCAAGATTATGTCATGAACTTACTGCACAATCCAAAGTGTAGAAGCTCTCATCAAGCAGTTTCACCAGACAAAGATGCTTTGATTCTCTCAACAGTGCATGCAATGAGATTGTTGACAGTGGCAACAGATCCAAGAGAAAGCTTAGCAGTTGGAACCGAATCAACCAGTATTTGAAACGCAACAGTTAAAAGAGATCCACCAGGTCCAGTTTCGTGAGATATAGTTCCATCTGGGAGAATTGCAAACCCTGAAGGAAGAAGTGCCACATAATCTGGATCTCCTCCGTTTAGAACTACATTCATTGCAACAATATCTACTGGAGCATATATCACAAAAGACCCTGTTGAATCGGTGCAACTCTCTTGCAGTATCAACATGTTACTCTGACTTGAATTTGCACTCTACAATTTGACATAGGTTAATCAATTATGATTTAGCTAATTAAATAATTCAAAATGAGTAAAAAATGAATTTAAGATATAAACATACATTTACTCGAAGTAGAGACACACAGTTTCCAGTATCTCGTCCATTTGCAATGTGTGCCATTTCTTGCACAACTCCACCATTGGAAAGAATGTCCCACTGTTGTTTGGAAATTCAATTAAAAATATTAAAATGAAATACAGATAATATACACATGTAAAAGAAATCAAAATCAATATATATATTATTAGGACTAACCACATTCTTTATTATATGCTTTAATATAAATAACAAGTTTTAATTTCAAGCACGGTTAACAAATTAAAAAGGACTTAGAATTTTTTTTTAAATTATAATTTTAACTTACATGATAAATTAAGAATAATTACCCATATAAAATACTTATACTTTTTATATTGTCGAAATTATTTTGTTAAAATTCATGGATAAAAGAAAATAAAGTTACTTTTTATTAGGATGACATGAAGTAAAGGTTCTTATCTAATGTAACAATGTCTGGTATACATTTGAAAACGTCATTTTACATCAGTAGAATCCGAAAATAGGTGTTCAGAAAACGAAATGAGGACCAATTAGATAATGAACATATCAGCTAACTGTAAAATAGTGTACGTGGGTGTAAAAGTAGATATCTATAGTTATTCTACCTAACATTTTTCATCTAACTTATTATGCTTTTATTGAAAAGCATCTATCATACCGTGTTTGGCAACCTGAAAAGGATATGTAATCCAAAGCACTTGATAGAAGGTAATTGGTGTAAAATCTAGGCAGTCAAATCTTGAGAAAGAAAGAGAAGGAGCAATTCATAACAATAAATCCACCAAGTAAGCAAGATTACCAAAGGTAGGTTAATTATCCATTAATAAGGGACCTAAGAGAACACAATAATGCAGCCTAAAACGTTATTAATTAACTTAATTAGCCTTTTTGAATGGTTGGCATACCTCATTCCTAGAGTTCTCATCACGGAGAAAGTCAAAAACTCGTTTAGGTGGAACTGGAAGCCAAAAAGAAGTGGCTGCACTGAGAACAATGCCAGGAGGTCTTCCAGGATCATCCACACTCTTTCGGGTCATCACCCTTACATCATCGGCACCTGTTCCAGACAGTGTTGTCCATGTGTGAGCAGTGGAAGCACTCACTCCAGCACAAAAGCTTATCACCATCCTTTCAGCCAGTTTCATCATACTCTTTCTCCCCTCTTGGTTTGTTATCACTGATAAACATATTCAGAATAAAAAGTTAATTACTTTGGATATGGTTATGGTGAAAGAACAGGAAATGAGAATCTATTATTACCACCAACATCAACTGTGGGAATATTTGTTGCCATAGCACTGGCAAGTCTTTCACACTGTCTATCCAAGGTTGCAACCCAACGTTTGGCACCAAATGCATGTCCAGAGCTAACAAGCTGTTTGTAAAGATTATGAACACCTCTGTCATCCACTTCAACATGCTCGACCCACGTGACCTAATTCATAGATATTATAGATTAAGTCATTGAGGAGAAAAAATGAAATAAAGGGTATGGCCTAGGTCTAAAAATCAAAGCCTCCTACTTAGTAGGTATATGGGAAAAGTCAATGTAACTGATCTTTACAATTTCAACAATATTGTAAATACAAGTAAGAATCCAACATGTACAAAATTACCCTATAAGTGTCTCGACTATACCTTTGAATAGCCATTTGGCATTTCCTGAATTAAGCAACCAGAAGGTCTTCTCCTACATCTGGCTGAAGGACTAGGGCGCAAATTATCCAGAGACACATCCACCACTGCCCAAGTTCCATCCGAATGTTGCTTACAATACCTTACAAAATAACTCTCACGAGTTGGCACAAGAGGGGTAGGTAGTTGCAATTCTGCTGTCATCTGCAGAAACAAACATCAGTTTCATTTTGTATTGTTTGATTTGTTAAGACTAAAGTACTTTAACAAATAAAAGAGATAATTTCTATATGTGTACCACTTGTAAGGCACCGTTGTAGTTCCCAGCCACTCCTGTGGATAGCACTTCCAGAGTCATGGCTCTTGAGACTATACCAGAGAACACTGTTGACCATTGGTTCTGAAAACAATTAAGAAATTAATGGCAAAGTCCAGAGAAATAGTTAGACTTGATATAACTTTTTTTAGTTCTCTTCAGTGAATAACATAGAATAAACATTATTGAAATAGAGTAAAGGAAGTGAAACATACAACATCCATGAGAATCTCAACGAGGCTGACATGGTTCATGATAACAACAGCAGTTTCTCGAGAAGCTTCACATTTGAAGCCAGAANCTTAATATAAGACTACATGTAATTGAAAATATTTAAATATTTTATTACGTTCCTGTTTTAAAATTCTAATAAATATAAAAAAGTGTTAAATTAAAAAAAATGAAAGTTTTCATAATTGAAAATATTTTCGAAGAATATAAATGTTTTTAATAGTGGTGATGTGTAGTAGATTTAATTAATATAACTTTTTAAAGGATATTAGTTTATCGATTTACAATATTTAGTTTCATCGTTGAAATTGTAATTGTAATTTTCAGGTGATTCTTAATTGTTTTTAGGATTAAATATGTTTTTCGTCCTTTAAGTATCATACGATTTTGGTTTTAGTCCTTATTCGAAATTTTGATGGTTTTTAATCCTCATAGTTTTGAAACTCTTACTGTTAGTCCTTAAAATTGGACGGCGTTAACTTTTAGTAGATATGACAAACGGCGAGATCACGTTTTATCCAAGCTGTCCTCTCCCCTATCTGTCACGTTGGTTTTCTTTTTATTTATTGTACTTTTTGATATTTGCAGGATGTGCTTAATTGGTTGGATCCACACTTGCCAGCTTTATTATATTCAATGGCAAGAATGACCATTTCGCAGGAATACTCCCCTCTGGTTCTGACTTGAAATCTTTGGCCCCGCTGCTCCCAAACAAATATGGGGTCCAGGTTCAGCAAATGCGAAGGAAGGTGAAGGAGGAATATCAGGGAAGAAATAAATAGAGGGGAAGTCCTGTCCTCTCTACTATCTATCTTTTCCCCAATCTAATTTATCTCTATCTCTTTCCCTGTTCGTTTCCGATTATCATGGCTGAAAACGTGGTGGCCAATAGGAAGGGTTGCGACACCAACGTAGTTTCGGACGGCGGTGCCAAGAGGAAGGACGTGACACGCGACATGGGTCTGGCCACTGCATTGGCCCTCACGTGTCACGAGTTTGGGGAGCACGGCGGCGTCAACCTGTCCATCGAGGCCTCCGCCGCGTTCACAGACATGGAGCCGGAAATCCTTCGCCGAAATCTTTGACTAAAACTACTTTTCCCCATTGAAGGAAAAAGCAGATTTTGAATCTGGGTTTTTGTTGGATGGTGGAGAATATGGATATAAAAAAGGGTCTCTGATTCCGCTTTTGGTGACGACCACTGTTAGGTTTGGTCTTGGTGAAACCACTGCTTCTGCAGTTGCCAATACAGCTGCTGGCTTGGATGAAAATGGAGACTCAGAAAGAGAACAGTGATGGGTGTGAAAGAGATAAAAAATCCCAAACATAACACACACCTGGCTCACTGTTAGCTACAAATATTTAATGCCGTTTAATTTTAAGGACTAATTATAATAGTTTTAAAGCTAAAAGACTAAAAAACGAGTAAGAACTAAAACTAAAATCGTATGATACTTAAAGGACAAAAAAACATATTTAACTGTTTTTATATTAAATATCTTCATTTTATGGAGAAAATGAAAATAGTCTATTTGACTAATATGATTAATAAAAGAAAAATAAAAGAAAAATATGACCAGTGAAATTTGATCATTTAACTTTTCTACTATTATTATATCAGTTTACTTTTTTCCGTCTTTTTCATCATGTGATTTTTCTTTTGCCTATTATGTATTTTTATTTTTAATTTAGTGTAGTCCTATTTCATGTATTTTTTCTTTTTCTATTTTTAATAAAATCTTCATATGATATTAATAATTCCAGAAGATTTGGAAATATTTTTTCCTATATTTAAGTTTTATTTTAAGAATTATCATTCTCATAACTTTTTTTTACAATTATGAATTTTCTACAAAAATAATTGTACAAAATAATATATTTTCTTCACCATACAAAATAATAATATATCAGTTAAACCATTTCAAAAAGAAAACAATTAAAAATATTCTTTTAAAAATCACATTATTTAATTTTTGAGAAACTTATATCAAGATTGTAAAATTTAAATATTAATTTTTATCTAAAATAAAAAGAAAACACACGTATAGATTTACAAATATTTGTACAAATATGTTCAGAACTGAACATATTTTAAAAATTACTAATAATATGAGATGGTTTTACTTTTTGATATAAACAATATATTTATTTAATAATAACTTAACGTCAATACTTATTAATTAAACAAATTATGATATAATTGAAAATTATTTAAATTTAAATTTGATAAAATATTAAGTAAAATTAATCTAATTATTTATAACGATATTAATTATTATATGTAATTTAAGAAAACCATTCCATAGAAAACTCTTTTTTTCTCCCTCATCAAACAAGCAGACCATTTAAAAATAATAAATAAATCCTGAGTTAACTACGTAGAGAACACATTCATGCATTAGTTTCAAAACTTTTTTTAAAATAAATGATTTAGTGAGAAGGTAGGTTGTGTATTAGATGCAAACTACTTTCCACCAACTTGTGCCGGAACTACTTCTAAATCACACAAAATCAGAATTGAAAAGAAGATAAGAGTTTACATTAAAGATAAACCCTAGTTACTCAAAAGGTTAATCCTAGCTATCTAGCTACATATTTTAGTCTTGGAAATGGTAAATGGTAGGGTAGCAAGGTCTTAATATTACGAGCTCTTAACCTTAACTATATATAGGGAAGTCAATTCCCGAACCTTAATCCTCTCATAGCACTTTTCGGGTACTGAGAAGGAACCATGCAAGGTGCGCTCTTGACTTCTCCCCATCTTTCAGCCGAAATTCCTCACCACCTTTTCATTTTCCACAACACACCATCTTCACTCTCTCATCCTTGTAACCTGCAACATCTGATAACAACATCAAAATAATTATAATCAACTTCTCTTTACAACATGTTATTAGAAACATAAATAAAAATGTCATATCTTACACAACATCATTAAAAACAAACTGGAAAAAATCAAAGTGCACATGCATGCATGTGTTTGTCCAAGATTATGTCATGAACTTACTGCACAATCCAAAGTGTAGAAGCTCTCATCAAGCAGTTTCACCAGACAAAGATGCTTTGATTCTCTCAACAGTGCATGCAATGAGATTGTTGACAGTGGCAACAGATCCAAGAGAAAGCTTAGCAGTTGGAACCGAATCAACCAGTATTTGAAACGCAACAGTTAAAAGAGATCCACCAGGTCCAGTTTCGTGAGATATAGTTCCATCTGGGAGAATTGCAAACCCTGAAGGAAGAAGTGCCACATAATCTGGATCTCCTCCGTTTAGAACTACATTCATTGCAACAATATCTACTGGAGCATATATCACAAAAGACCCTGTTGAATCGGTGCAACTCTCTTGCAGTATCAACATGTTACTCTGACTTGAATTTGCACTCTACAATTTGACATAGGTTAATCAATTATGATTTAGCTAATTAAATAATTCAAAATGAGTAAAAAATGAATTTAAGATATAAACATACATTTACTCGAAGTAGAGACACACAGTTTCCAGTATCTCGTCCATTTGCAATGTGTGCCATTTCTTGCACAACTCCACCATTGGAAAGAATGTCCCACTGTTGTTTGGAAATTCAATTAAAAATATTAAAATGAAATACAGATAATATACACATGTAAAAGAAATCAAAATCAATATATATATTATTAGGACTAACCACATTCTTTATTATATGCTTTAATATAAATAACAAGTTTTAATTTCAAGCACGGTTAACAAATTAAAAAGGACTTAGAATTTTTTTTTAAATTATAATTTTAACTTACATGATAAATTAAGAATAATTACCCATATAAAATACTTATACTTTTTATATTGTCGAAATTATTTTGTTAAAATTCATGGATAAAAGAAAATAAAGTTACTTTTTATTAGGATGACATGAAGTAAAGGTTCTTATCTAATGTAACAATGTCTGGTATACATTTGAAAACGTCATTTTACATCAGTAGAATCCGAAAATAGGTGTTCAGAAAACGAAATGAGGACCAATTAGATAATGAACATATCAGCTAACTGTAAAATAGTGTACGTGGGTGTAAAAGTAGATATCTATAGTTATTCTACCTAACATTTTTCATCTAACTTATTATGCTTTTATTGAAAAGCATCTATCATACCGTGTTTGGCAACCTGAAAAGGATATGTAATCCAAAGCACTTGATAGAAGGTAATTGGTGTAAAATCTAGGCAGTCAAAACTTGAGAAAGAAAGAGAAGGAGCAATTCATAACAATAAATCCACCAAGTAAGCAAGATTACCAAAGGGAGGTTAATTATCCATTAATAAGGGACCTAAGAGAACACAATAATGCAGCCTAAAACGTTATTAATTAACTTAATTAGCCTTTTTGAATGGTTGGCATACCTCATTCCTAGAGTTCTCATCACGGAGAAAGTCAAAAACTCGTTTAGGTGGAACTGGAAGCCAAAAAGAAGTGGCTGCACTGAGAACAATGCCAGGAGGTCTTCCAGGATCATCCACACTCTTTCGGGTCATCACCCTTACATCATCGGCACCTGTTCCAGACAGTGTTGTCCATGTGTGAGCAGTGGAAGCACTCACTCCAGCACAAAAGCTTATCACCATCCTTTCAGCCAGTTTCATCATACTCTTTCTCCCCTCTTGGTTTGTTATCACTGATAAACATATTCAGAATAAAAAGTTAATTACTTTGGATATGGTTATGGTGAAAGAACAGGAAATGAGAATCTATTATTACCACCAACATCAACTGTGGGAATATTTGTTGCCATAGCACTGGCAAGTCTTTCACACTGTCTATCCAAGGTTGCAACCCAACGTTTGGCACCAAATGCATGTCCAGAGCTAACAAGCTGTTTGTAAAGATTATGAACACCTCTGTCATCCACTTCAACATGCTCGACCCACGTGACCTAATTCATAGATATTATAGATTAAGTCATTGAGGAGAAAAAATGAAATAAAGGGTATGGCCTAGGTCTAAAAATCAAAGCCTCCTACTTAGTAGGTATATGGGAAAAGTCAATGTAACTGATCTTTACAATTTCAACAATATTGTAAATACAAGTAAGAATCCAACATGTACAAAATTACCCTATAAGTGTCTCGACTATACCTTTGAATAGCCATTTGGCATTTCCTGAATTAAGCAACCAGAAGGTCTTCTCCTACATCTGGCTGAAGGACTAGGGCGCAAATTATCCAGAGACACATCCACCACTGCCCAAGTTCCATCCGAATGTTGCTTACAATACCTTACAAAATAACTCTCACGAGTTGGCACAAGAGGGGTAGGTAGTTGCAATTCTGCTGTCATCTGCAGAAACAAACATCAGTTTCATTTTGTATTGTTTGATTTGTTAAGACTAAAGTACTTTAACAAATAAAAGAGATAATTTCTATATGTGTACCACTTGTAAGGCACCGTTGTAGTTCCCAGCCACTCCTGTGGATAGCACTTCCAGAGTCATGGCTCTTGAGACTATACCAGAGAACACTGTGGACCATTGGTTCTGAAAACAATAAAGAAAATAAGGGCAAAGTCCAGAGAAATAGTTAGACCTGATATAACTTTCTTTAGTTCTCTTCAGTGAATAACATAGAATAAACATTATTGAAATAGAGTAAAGGAAGTGAAACATACAACATCCATGAGAATCTCAACGAGGCTGACATGGTTCATGATAACAACAGCAGTTTCTCGAGAAGCTTCACATTTGAAGCCAGAAGGTTTTGGGCCAATTCCTCGAGGGAAAGATCTGATGTATTCGTCCTCATTGAGTATAGTAGATGAGGCATCAAGAGTAGTTAACCAAAGGGGATCACCCATTTGTGCCATTCCAATGAGCTCCTCCATAGCTGCAACAGCTAGCTCTATTATGATGGGTTTATCAGCTTCAGTGGGTCCACTAATTGATCTCAGAAGATCTCCAGCTCCATACATGTCCACACCAATAGCTGGTTGGCTTCCAAAACCAGCACCAACCCCAAGTTCTAGAGGACGAGGAGGGAGGGAAGGAGAAATATTTGAATAATTCACCACAGGCTTCCCTACATACTTAGCAGCAATTGCTGAAATCCTATCAATCTGTCAAAAATGTCAAAAACAAAATGTTATAATAATCAACTACCCCTCTGGGGTTTGTAACTGTTAGTCCATTGCTTAAAAATTCCCTTTTAATATTCATTTTAATTTTCTAACTGTAACACATAACTCGAGACTTTATTAAGGTCCTTCTTAATTGGTCCAAGGAGTAGTTAGAGTAACCAACTAATAAAGTCACATAAAATGTTGGCTATTTAACTGATGTACCTCTTCTCTAAGCCTTGCATTCTCAAGCCTCAAGTGATGTTCATCAAATGACATTTCTCCTATTGCTGTTGGTCCACCACAATTAGGACACGAAGCATTGCTGAGAGCTTCCCTATACCTCATGTTATCAGCTCGAAGCTTCTCGTTCTCGGTTCTAAGTTGTGTATTCTCATGCCGCTCGTGTTGTGTCTGCAAAAACAAAACACCCCCTTTAACGAACATCTCACAAAAAAGTTAAGGCAAAACCTAACACATGCACCACAGTTATACAGATATATACCTTCATCTGGGTACGTTTGTTCTGAAACCAAAACTTAACCTGCAATGGTTCTAACCCTAATTCCCTGCTCAGTTCTTTCCTTTGTTTATCATCTGGGTGTGGACACTCCTTGAAGAATCTGCACGGACATAATTTGATCAGTTCCTTTAAAGAATATGTTCGATGCTTTTTTATAAAACTAATTAAAAGTTTGGGTGTTCAAGACTTGAAATAGCTAGTATATCTAACCGGTACAATATTTCTGTGAAAAAATGTCACTTTTGTTGTTCATAGTTATATCTGGTTTGCACAGGGATTACCTGTGTTTGGTGAAGCATACATGTAGTATTTTACCCAAAGAAAAATCAAGAAGATGGAGTATATTTGGAGTAACTTACGCTTCCATCTCCTGGATCTGGTGTTGGGTGTGGCGGTGGTAACGCTTCTTCTTGTTTGGACGAGGGTCTTGGTCTTCACCAGAGGCACCTTCATGGTTTTCACTACTAGAAATTGTGGCATTATCGAACTCATCTTCACGAATTTGGGGGACCTCACTCTCTAAAGTGTTCTGACCCATCTCCAAGGCTTCCATCAGGTTCGGCTGGAACATTGTTACAGATCTTCAAGGTTCCAGAGGCTTATGCTTTCTCAATCTAACAAAACACAGCACAGAAACATGTAGTATAGTACGGTACACTCATAGAGAAAAAGACACAGACATCAACATTTTATTTCTTTGTAAGATAATTTCTCTTTCTTTTTTTTTTAACTATTTGTAAACTTTTCCTTTTGACTTTTTTTTTTTGAGAAAATATAACGCAGTTTTGGGGAAAACGCGGCTTTCTAATATCGAGAAGGATATTTGGCCTGGTTGGTGGTACAAAAAAAGGGGTTTGTTTATTTTGTTGCTGTGATGCAAAGTTAAAAAGTGAAAATATGAAAGGAGTCAAATTTGTTTGAAAATTTTAATTAAAACCGAGTTTGGGGAATTGAAGTGGTGAAGAATAAAAAAAGCGAGTCAAATGCGTTGAAAGAGAAGGTGAAAAGTTAAAACACCCACCTGCGCAAGAGTGAAAGTTGAAGATGATCCAAACCCACCAAGGTTGTTCTTGTTCTTCCTAGCTATCATCGACGGCATGTTTCTCGCTGGAATCATAATACCGCCTTGTGTTTTTCACACACCTCAGAAACCACCACCACCACCAACATTTATATTCTGAATTGACTCTCTCTCTCTCTCTTCTCTTTTCTCTTTTTCTCTCTCTATATATTCCAATCACTTTCTCTCTCTTACCACAAGGGTTGGTTGTGTTTTCAGAGGTCCTTGGATACAGAAGAAGAAGCTAAAAACGACGAGTCCTCGGATTCTGTCAGATGGCAATGTCAAAGCGAGTCAGTGTGTTACTACAAAACTCAAACATCCGCAAACGTGACCTGCAAGGGAGAAAAAGATTAAAAAACAAAAATCAAATGCTCAAAAACAAACATACCCTATAGAATGATATACACATCAATGCACATATGAATCAAAAAGCGGAGAAACACCGATACCCTTTTCTGATCTTGCCTTGTCAAAGAGCAAGATCAAAACTTTTTTCAAGAAAATCCAACTCCCACGAAGATCTCAGAGAATCCTACACGCTTCATGTATTTCAGGATATTTCTCTTTCTTACAAACCTAGCGTTCCCTTTCACTCTAACCCAGCCCTAGTTTCTAGCCACTTTCTAAAAACCTGTTAGAACTCAAAAAACATGTACCGAACACCCCATTACTCAAAAAACCAGTGACCTCACAGAACTGTAACAAGCCATCGTAACAGTGGATGCCACGACAGTTTGACTGACAAACTCTTTAACTTACCAGTGAGGGGTGGTGGAAGATGAAGAAGGTGTAGTAGTAGATCTGTTTAGGGACTAAAAAGCAGTAGAAAAGTGAGGAGCCATTTGAAGAGAAGAAAAAGAAGAAGAAGATGGTTTGTTAGGGAGAGAAAGAAGGAGGAAGAAGAAGAAGAAGATGAAGAGATAGGGACAAGGGCATTGAAGGAAGGAGGGAGAGAGAGGGAAGTGGGGAACAGATGGAGGAAAATGTGGCAGCGAAGAGTAATTGCAGAGCGTATAGAGAGGGTGCAATTGCATTTAATGGAGGGCAAAAGAGGTGTAATTGCTAGAGAGGGGAGAGAGAAAGAGACGCAGCATATTTTTGGTGTATAAAATTTTGAGAGTTGACGGTGCAATGCAATGCAAAACAAAACAAAACAATGCAACGAATGACGGCTACCAAACAAATGCTAAGTGTTATGCTGCTATCTTCAAATTAATTTTCTGCCTGTAACTCCATTAACATCATCTTCTTTCTTTCTCTTATGCTACACCATTCCGATCATAAGTGTATATATTTCTCATTAATATAAGAGTAATGGCTCAAGAATTACAAGAGCTTTTTCTTCAAAATATTATTAATGTGCTTTAATGACGTTTTTAATATGTTTTAATGCCATTCTTAATATGCTTTTTAATGAAAGTTTTTCACCTGCTCAGAAAGACTCTGGTGTTTCCTTCGTGATTTAGGTTTTGTTAATGAAATATTCAAAGTAAGGATTATGATAAGGAAATAGGGATTTTTTTTTTCTTACACATTCTTGATTGGAAGTAAGTAAGATTATTGAGGGTGGTATAAAGTTTTTCCTCTGTTAATGTATGTTAATATTAATTAATTGAATTAATTCTATATTAGTTTACCTGAAGTTGTCCTTTTTTTGTTGATAATTGTGTTAAGTTATAGAAATTAAGCAACTGAAATAAGTGTGGAATAATTTCATTCAGTGAAGAGTAGTTGATTAAATAATTAGAATAGTTTTATTAAAAATATTATTAATTCTCTTTACTCGGATTTTTAAATGCTTTTAATGTGATTTTAAATTTAAATGTCATTTTTAATGATTTTTCATTTGTATTTTTTTTCACAGACGCTTTTCAACAAGAAGTGATTAGCATTGAGAACCTTTTTGGTGAAATATTCATAGCAATCCTTAAAAGGAAAACTGGGAGTTTTATTTTTAATTATTATTGAAAGAAAATAAGGAATTAAAAAAAATAAGGAAACAAGTAAAACTTTTCTTTATAGGCATTTATTCATAAGCTTTGTTTGAGAAATTTTATTGAAAGAAAACAAGAAGTTAAAAAAAATAAGGAAACCATAAAACTTTTCTTTATATATAAGCTTTGTTTGTAAAATTTTAAACTTTTTCTAGTAATTTAGTTTATCATATTTAGTGATATCTTCTCTTTTCAATCATATTTTCTCTGTCTATAATATTTATACATGAAATATTACTTTAAAAAAATATTGGAATGATTAGGTTATTATTATTATTTTTGTTCTGTTTGACAAAAACACTCCTTTCAAATCACATTTTTCTTTAATACATTTTCTTGTTCCACAAATATTTTAGAGAATAAACATAATTCTAGATTAGTCTTTATTTTATAAAATTATTTATGCATTAAATATTTTTAACATTACTCGTTATCAATACTTTATGGATTAAAAATAATATGGATAATTAATTAGAGAAATAAAAAGTACTTAAAAAGTAACATATTTTTTTATGAAATTCAAATATTAATTATATTTCTTAACATTTGTGTCAAAATCTTAAATGTCATAAAAATGATATGAAATTATAACTGTATATTTATGGCTCGAACTCGTAGATTATTATGGAAGCATTTGATATGAAACAATTGAAAATTAACTTCTTTTATGGAAAAATTGAATTTTAAGTTAGAGAAATCAGGTTATTTATAATTAATATAATAAGATAAGACATGAGAGAATTTATTCATTCCTTTTCTATCTACTTACTAAACAAGTGTTTTTTTTTTAAATATTTATTTCAAGCTTAACCAAACTTATCCAATATAAAAAAATTGCGGTGGAATTTTTTTTATTCTATGCAGTATATTTTATATGTGACGTAGGTTTTACCTTTATATGAATAAAATTTATGATAAGTGCATGACCCAGTTTGTTAGATAGTGCTAGCCTGTTTATATTTTTAGTAACAAAAAATGTTATTTTTTTATACAAATCAAAAATTAATTTAATTGATATATATAGTTTTATTTTAGTGACGATTTACAATTATAAATATTAAAAAATGTTTAAAAAATTATATTGTCATCTAATAATATCTTAAAATAAGTGAGGAATTTATTTGGTCATAATTTAATTATATTAAAATAAAAGTTTAAATACTTAATCAGTAATTTGTAATTAATACATAAATGTTGAGTAATTTTTTAACAAACTCTGAAGAAATAATGCTGATATAAGTGAAATAAAAATATTATTAATTTGCAATTGATATATAAATAACTGAGAAGAGGAGCAAAAGTTCGGTTAAAAAGAGTAGTGAAGAAAAATTCACTGTTGGGAATTTTACTTATAATTAAAAAACCGTGTTGGGAGTTTTTCACTGTGAATTTAGATTCTGTTTTAGAAAGAAAAAAAAGTAAAAAGTGTGCTTTTCTTTTAAAGAAATAAATTAATAAAGAAAAGGACGCACTGCAAAAGCAAATGACAAAATTAATCCAAAATCGTGATTTAGAAAAAATAATAATAAAAAATATAACTCAGCAAAAAATAAAAGTGGGGTCATGACTAAAAGAACAACTCCGCGTAAGCTTTTTCCATGTATAAAATAAAGAAAAATTATATATGTATATCTTTTAATTATTTTACATTTATCAAACATCTAATAAAATATTATTTTTTTATTTAATTCTTTAAACTATTTTATATTTTAATATAAAAATATAATTTTATTGATATTAAGTAGGTGAAGAGTAAAAGATAAAGTGTCCATGTATCGTCACCCTAAAATAAATTCCTTAAAATGACTTTTTTTTTTATCATGTTGGACCAACTTTTTTCAAGGAAAAAGAAGTTAAAAATAAATTATCTCAGACACTTTTTAAAGTAATTATAATAACTTCGCACTACAGAAAAAAATTATAAATATGAAAAAAAGTCAACCAAAAAACTTTATATATCACCAATGACGCAATAATGTAAGAAAAAAAGTTTTTTTAACGGAGACTTATACACTCCTTGGTCATAATAATCCCAACCAAAACAAAAACAGTATATATATATATATATA